CTCGACAAGCTGGGTGGCAAATCAAGCTCATAAGCCACCTCCCCAATCCTCCGAAGCACCTCAAAAGGCCAAATGAACCGAGGACTCAATTTCCCATTCTTCCCAAATCTCATAACACCCTTCATGGGTGAAACCTTCAACAGAACCTTCTCACCAACCATGTAGGACACATCCCAAACCTTCCTATTAGCATAACTCTTTTGCCTTGACTGCGTTGTACGAAGAATCTCCTGAATTACCTTCACCTTTTCTAAAGCATCCTACACCAAGTCTTCACCCAAACCTAACCTCACCCAGCTTAAATCAACCAACTGGAGATCTACACCGCCTCCCATACAAAACCTCATATGGAGCCATCTAAATACTTGACTGGTAGTTGTTGTTATAAGCAAACTCTGCAAGTGGTAGAAACTGATCCCATGACCCTCTGAAATCAATGACACAAGCACGCAACATGTCATCCAATATCTAAATAGTGCGCTCGGACTGCCTATCCGTCTGAGGGTGAAAATGTGCTCAACTCAACCTGAGTACCCAACTCTCGCTGCACAGACCTCCAAAACTGCAAAGTAAACTCAGTGCCCCTATCCGAAATGATGGAAACTGGGACACCTTGCAAACTGCTCAGGAATAGGTAGTACACATAGGAATGAAGTACGCGGACTTGGTTAGCCGATCCACAATCACCCAAATAGCATCGAACTTCTTCAAAGTCTGTGGGAGCCCAACTAGTCCATGGTGATCCGCTCCCACTTCCACTCTAGAATATCCATCTACTGAAGCAAGCCACCCGGTCTCTGATGCTCATATTTCACATGCTGACAATTGAGACACCGAGCTACAAATCCCACAATGTCCTTCTTCATTCTTCTCCACCAATAATGTTGTCTCAGATCCTGCTACATCTTCGCGGCACCCTGATGAATGGAATACCGCGAGCTATGGGCCTCCTCCAAAATCATCTCCCAAAGCCCATCCACATTGGGCACACAAATCTGGCCCTGCATCCTCAACACCCCATTATCACCAATAGTCACATCTCTGGCATCATCGTACTGAACTCTGTCCCTACAGACAAGTAAATGAGGATCATCATACTGGCGCTTTCTAATACGATCATATAAGGAAGACCGAGAAACCACATAAGCCAATACCCGACTGGGCTCCGAAATATCTAATCTCACGGACCGATTGGCTAAGGCCTGAACATCAACTGCAAGAGGTCTCTCCCCAACTGCAATATATGCCAAACTTCCCATACTCACCGCCTTTTGGTTCAAATCAACGGCCACCACATTGGCCTTCCCTAGATGGTACAATATAGTAATATCATAATCCTTTAGCGACTTCAACCACCTCTACTGCCTCAAATTAAGATCCTTCTGCTTGAACAAGTGCTAGAGGCTACAGAGATCAGTAAACACCTCACAAGACACACCCTACAAGTAATGCCTCCAATCTTCAATGCGTTAACAATGACATCCAACTCCAAATCATGAATGGGTAGTTCTTCTCATGGAGCTTCAACTGACGAGAAGCATAAGCAATAACTCTACCCTCCTGGATCAATATGCACCCAATACCAACTCTCAAAGAATCACAATACACGGTATATGAACCTGAAGTTGATGGAAAAATTAACACTGGAGCCGTGGTCAGGCTGTCTTGCGCTTCTAAAAGCTCTCCTCACACTCATATGACCATACAAATGAAGCACCCTTCTGAGTAAACTTGGTCAAGGGCGATGCGATAGATGAGAATCCCTGGACAAAACAACGATAATAGCCCGCCAAACTAAGAAATCTACGAATGTCTGTGGATGAGGACGGTCTGGGCCAACTCTGGACCACCTCTATCTTCTTCGGATCAACTTGAATACCCTTGCTGGACACCACGTGCCCCAAGAAAGCCACTAAACTGAGCCAAAACTCACATTTGAAGAATTTTGCATAAAGTTTCTCCTCCCTCAATCTCTACAACACAACTCTCAAATGCACAACGTGCTCCTCCTGACTATGCGAATACACCAGAATATCATCAATGAAGACTATGACAAACGAGTCGAGATAAGGCCGAAACATGCTATTCATCAAATGTATGAACGTTGTTGGGGCATTGGTCAGCCTAAAAGACATCACCAAGAACTCATAATGACCATATCGGGTCCTGAAAGCTATCTTAAGAATATCCGAGTCCCTAATATTTAACTGGTGATAACCTGAACAGAGATCAATCTTCGAGAACACTCTCGCTCCCTGAAGTTGGTTGAACAAATCATCAATACGAGGCAAAGGATACTTGATCTTAATTTTTACTTTGTTCAACTGCCTATAATCAATGCACATCCTCATAGTGTCATCCTTCTTTTTCACAAATAGAACTGGTGCACCCCAAGATGACATACTAGGCCGAATAAACCCTTTATCAAGGAGTTCCTGAAGCTACTCCTTCAACTCTACTGGTGCCATACGATACGGAGGAATAGAAATGGGCTGAGTGCCCGGCACCAGGTCAATACCAAAATCAATATCCTTGTCCGGTAGCATGCCCGACAGGTCTGCATGAAACACATCGGGAACCTCCCTCACAACTAGAACAGAATCAATTCTGGGAGTCTCTACACCGACATCCCTCACAAAGGCTAGATATGAAAGACTACCCTTCCCAACCATACGTTGGCCTTCAAGAATGAAATTACCCTACTGGGAACATAATCAGTCAAACCTCACTACTCAATCCGTGGCACACCCAGTATAGCCAATGTGATTGTCTTAGCATGACAATCCAGAATAGCACGACACGTAGATAGCCAATCCATTCCCAAAATGACATCGAAATCTACCATACATAATAATAAAAAGATCCACTCGAGTCTCCAGACCCCCAATAGTCATCACACACGACCGCTACACACGATCTACAACAACAGTATCGTCCACCGGAGTAGAAACATGAACAGGCGAAACAAGAGACTCGCGGGGCATATCCAAATAACGAGCAAAGTATGATGACCCATAAGAAAAGGTGGAACCGAGATCAAATAATACAAAAGCATCTCTATGGTAGACTAAAACAATATATGTAATAACAACATCGAAAGCAATAGCTCAGGTCTAGCTGGAAGTGCATAGAAACAGGCCTGACCGCCACCTGGTCGACCTCCCCCTATAGGGCGATCCCTAGCTGACTTACCTCCACCCCTGGGTGGTGATGAAGTAGCTGGCGCTGAAGCCGATTGTTGACTCCTCTGTTGAGATGAACTTGCAAGACGACAAGGACACTGCCTCCACATATGACCCATCTCTCCATACTCATAGCAACTCTCGGGTGCTAGAGAAGGGGACTGAAGGTAACCCCTAGCACATGAATGACTAGCTGATGCACCTGGCATAGAAGAGCCCTGAATTGATGCAGCACGAGATGAACTCTAAGCTGGAAGGACACTAAGTGATGACTGGCCCTGATAAAAACTGTGAAAACCATGACCCGATGACGCCCCACGATAACCTAGGTGAGTTGGCTGAGCATGCCTGAATGGACGGCCTCTGTCGTGCTGAAACTGACCTCTCGAAGTAGCACCACTATAGCTACTAGATCCTCGAGGCCTCTTGGCCTCCCTCTCCTCTCGCTCCTGGCGACGAACTGACTCTGTCTCTTGAGAAATGTCTACAACCTCCTCAAAAGTAACACCAGTCATCCTCTCTCTGGTCATGAGAATAAGAAGCTGATAAGTGAGGCTATCAACAAACCTCCTAATCCTCTCTCTATCTATCGGAACCAACCAAATGGAACGGCGAGCTAACTTAGAGAACCTCATCTTATACTGCATCATAGTCATCTCTCCCTGACGCAACCACTCAAACTACTTGCGCAGCTCCTCTCAGCGAGACTGCGACACATACTTCTCCAGAAAGAGAACGGAGAACTGCTGCTAGGTAAGGGGTGCTGCACCAACAGGCCTATGCCTCTCAAAAGCCTCCCACCAAGTGAAGGCATCTCCAAAAAACTGATAAGAGCTGAAAGAGACCCCGCTGGTCTCCATAATACCCGCTGTACGAAGCATCCTCTGACACTTATCCAAGAAACCTTGGGAATACTCGCCCTCTACACCACTGAAGGTCGGAGGATGAAGTCTACCAAACCTCTCCAACCTACGTTGGTCGTCCTCTGGCATGGCAGGAACTACATAGTCCTGAGAAGCTGCAACTGACTGGGCTAGATGCGCCCCTGGTGTCTGAAGTCCCTGCACGACCTTCTCGGTGTGCGAGCGGCGGGATTCTGAGTGCCTCCCCCAGCCTGAGAAGTAGTTGCAGCTGTAGTAACTAAGACCGCCTAAGCAAGGCCAGTGCAAACTGATAGAATATGAGCCAAGGCCTCCTGAAGACCCGGAATCACAATGGCCACAAATGTTGCTTGAGCTGGTGTTGCTAGAGCGTCCACAACTAGGACCTGATCCTAAACTGGGCGACTGGTGGATCTGCAGGTGCTGCCCTAGCTGATCACAGGCCACACCCCAGCCCTTACCACGACCACGACTGCATCCTCGGCCTATAGTGGCCACAGTTGGTGGTACTGGTGGTCGTCCATCCTAACCGGTAGCGCGTGTCCTCACCATCTGTGAGAGAATAGAATAACAAAAGTTTAGTACTCTGATCAACAAATTCGCACGACAAGAATTTCAAGATTATGAAGTTCTTCCTAAAGGTTGTGCAGCCTCTCGAATATAAATACAGACATCTCTGTACCGATCCGTGAGACTCTACTAAACCTGCTCATGCCTCGTGAGACCTATGTAACCTAGGCTCTGATACCAACTTGTCACGACCCTAAACCCGGACCCAGTCGTGATGGCGCCTCTCATGAAGACAAGGACAGCTGACACACTCCCAATTCATTTTAAGCAATTAAACAACAGAACTAAGCCTTAATCATAATAATAAATCCCCAAAATAAGGTAGATAGTACAGTTTGCGGAAAAAGACATATCCCCACATCGGGGTGTCACCAGTCATGAGCATCTATAATAATACTACAAGTTGAAATAGTCTACTCAACTATTACATAACTAAAACAGAAGGAAATAAGATAGAGGGAGAAGCACTAGGCTACGAATCGCCAGGCAGCTACTTAGTGAATCTCCGGAATCTGCTGGATAGCTCTCAACCCTTGCAAGCATGACTTGATGTGCCTAAATCTGCACACGGGGTGCGGGAAGTAAAGTGAGTACTCCAACTCAGTGAGCAATAATAATAAATGCACACTAAGTAATAAGAAACCATGCAAAGGCACGTCAACAGGCTATAAAGAAGCAGTAAAAGCCAGTAAAAGCAATGAAACAGTAGAAAATAGGTAAAGCCACTTTAATTCAGTCAAAACTTCTTTGGAATTGCCTTTTTAACACTTAAGCAAGTAAATGACAGGCAACTAGGAAAGATAAACACATAAAGAACCGCCCCTCGAGCGCAATACCACAGAATTAGCCCCTCGAGCATCACATGGAACAATACCAGCCCCTCGGGCTATATCTCACATCACAATAGGTACCCGCGCTCGGTGGGGTGTGCAGACTCATGGAGAGGCCCCTTATGGCCCAAGTGCAATATCAAGCCATCTCGTGGCATAATCACATAGGCTCTCAGCCTCATATTAACAAGCCACCTCATGGCGTTCAAATCTCAGGCTCTCGGCCTCATAATCATAATCAGGTGTTTCCTCACAGCATAGGCCTTTGGCCTTACTCAATCAGAATTCTCACAAGCCACTTGGGCAATAGTAAAACATGATGTTCAGTCCAAAATATCATTTAATTTTTAAAACAGAGTAAACATAGCTGAGTTATGAAAACAGTAGAATATAACATGACTGAGTTCAAGTATAAAGTCAAAACAGTGAGGAAATATCAGTAAAAATCCCCTAAGGGTTCAAATAGTTGGCACGAGTCCCAAATATGGTATTCAGACCAAAACATGATGATAGCAAATAGTTTTCAATCAAATACGCGGTTAAACAATCATTCGGGATGGACTAAGTCACAATCCCAAATAGTGCACGACCTCGCGCTTTTCTTCTAGCGTGTGCGTCACCTCAATATAGCACAACGATGTGCAATTTGGGGTTTTATATCCTTAGGACAACATTTACAATCATTACTCACCTCTACCCGGTCCAAATATCTAACTTGCAATTCCTTTGCCCATCGAATTGGCCTCTGGATGCTCCAAATCAAACCAAAATCAGTGTAAAACCATCAAAATATGCTAAGGGAACAAAGCCTATTCAAAAGAGATCAAATTACAACAATAATCTCGAAATTGGCCAAACCCGACCCCCGAGCCCACGTCTCAGATTCCGATAAATTTTACATCAATAAACTCCTTATCGCTCTCCGAGTTTATTCATACCAAAAGCATCAAAATCCAACCACAAACGACCCCTCAAATCCCAAAATCTAGGTCTCCAATTACAAACCGAAGTTCTCCAATATTAGGCTTAATTTCCATGATTAATTAGGTAGAATTCACATTAGAATCGAGTATTAAGTCCATAAATCTTACCTCCAAGTGTTTCCCCTTGAATTCCTCTTCAATCCTCTTCAAAAAGCTCCAAAATCGCTCAAAAATGGTGGAAGTTAACCCCAAAATTGCGGACAAGATTACTATTTAAACAATCTGCCCAGGCCTCAATTCCTTCTTCGCGAACGTGGTCAACGCCTCGTGTTCGCGAAACACAATCTTACTTTGACCAATTTTCCTCTTATGCGAACGCGTCCAGTCCCTCGCGAACACGATAGTTCCTCAGCCCGACCTTCGGGAACGTGCTCCTTTTCTCGCGAACGGGATGAACAATTCCACCTGAACCCCAGCTGCTCAACTTCCTCTACGCGAACGCGGAGCCTCCCTCGCGAACGCGATGCACAAGATCCCAGCCCTTCACGAATATGGAGCCTTCCTCACGAATGCGAAGGCTAAAATCTCAGCCTCACCAGCTAACCTTTCGTGAACGTGAGGGCCTACTCGCCAACGCGAAGGTCATTTCTCTGCAACACTGAAGAGCAGTTTTCTGCACTTTTCCAAAACATGAAATGGTCTGATTGACCACCCAAAACTCACACGAGGCCCCCGGACCTCAAACAAATATGCCATCATATCCCATAACATCATTCAAAGTTGTTCCAACCTTCGAAACACTCAAAACAACATCAAAACACCAAATTCGCATCAGATTCAAGCCTAAGAATTCCAAAATCTTCTAAAATACGCTTTTGATCAAAGGCCCAATTCTGCATCTGTGACAAAATGCCCGCACCTACGCTATTGCAGGTGTGCTCCAGTAGCCGCTTCTGCAGTTCCAGCCAATCTCCCTCTTGTCTCTGCTTCTGCGAGTCTGCACCTGCAGTCCCCTAGCCGTAGGTGCGGTTATGACAGTAATAGAAAATACTTCAGCTGCCAAACCCAACCCAAAATCTTCCGTCAACCATCCGAAATCACCCCGAGGCCACCGGGACCTCAACCAAAAGTACAAACAAGTCATATACCACTATCAAAACTTATACCAATATTCAGAACACCTCACACGACATCGAATCAACCATATCACATCGGATTCAAGCCTAAGGTTCCAAAAATCTTCCGAATTCCGCTTTTGATCAAACCACGTCTGAATGACCTAAAATTTTGCACACACATCCCAAATGACACAACAGAACTACTGCAACTCTCGATATTCCATTTCGACACCTATATCAAAGTCTCATCTAACAATCGAAAAACGCCAAAAATCCAATTTCGCTAATTCAAGCCTAAATATACTCCAGACCTCCAAAACACATTCCGATCACGCTCTTAAGTCCCAATTCACCTCCTGGAGCTATCTGAACCATCGAACCTCACATCCGATCCCTCTAACATATAAGTCAACATCTGATTGACTTTTCCAACTTAAGCTTCCTCAAAAGAGACTAAGTGTCTCAAACTTTACCAAATCCTTTCCGGACCGGAGCCAACCAAACCGAGCACTCATAGAACCGATAAACAAAGCAATAAGAAGTAGAAATGGGGGAAACAGAGCATTAACTCATGAGACGACTGGCCGGGTCGTCACACATGAGCTCTACAATACAAATACAAGTCTGATAATACAAACATTGTTTAAAACAACAACAATAGTAACAAAAGCAACAACAACAAAAACAATACAAAAGGATAGGAAGAGACGCAAGGGACTACAAACATAAAGAAGCACTACCTCGGTGTCAAAAACACATCAACAACTCAGTTCATAAAGCACAGCTGGATCCAACTCCCAAATCTGCACAATTAAGTGTAGAGTATATTATGAGTAAAACCGATCTCATCTACTCAGTAAGTATCATGACTAACCTTGAAGAGTTAGTGGTGAGAATCAACAATGATACTCATATGTGGAATCTGTACATTTCATGAATGTATACATATATGCAACAATAATATCGGAATCTACACATGAAATACAAATAAGGCAAACAGTGCACATAGAGAGACATATATTGAAAATATGTACTATGTATAATTGCATCAACTAAAGCAGCATATAGAGAAGATGCGCGAAAAAGACATGTATACGATTTTGTAGCTAACATATATAGGAAATATGCAGTAAAAATCATGTATAAATCCAAGGAGTATATATAGAGAAGATACACAAAACCCTACACTGATCAACTTTTATATCCGTGTGGACTTCTTCAAGGAGAAACATGAGCGGACGACCCTAGGGGATGGATCTTATTCACACGCTTCATGGATAAATCACGTGTTATAACCTCACGGACAATTCATGTCCACAATCAATTCAACTCGCACGAACAACTCACGTGATGTCACACTAGTCTATAACACATAAAGCATATATAAGAATATATGTATACAGTTAATGGATACTAAATCACATACTTCTTGACCGATACAATAACATGCTTAGGTGTATGCATATGCGAATTGTATGATTACAACTCAGATTGGGTGGCTATGCCACACCATATGAGTGTTGCACCCTATTTTGCGCATGTAAAAACAAGATTCAATTAGTGGTTTTCTGTTGTTGATAAAGGAGAGTCGGCACCTAATATTTTAAGGTATACCAAGGTACCTATTTATTTATGTATTATCTTATTGGTCTACTAACCGGTGCGATTTGGGTGAAGGTTCTTGTTCTTCTAAGGGAAAGGTGTTAGACACCCTTTAAAATCTATCTAAGCTAGCTCTTTAAGACTTAGGCTAGGTTTAAGGAAGTAAATGTATATATTCTGCTTAGTTAAGTGCTTGAGGTTTAAAACTATTCTAAATCTTGTCTTGAAAGTCTACTTGTTTTAAAAGAATAGTGTATTTACATTGAAGAAAGAGGAGCATAGGTTTTAGGTAATTTGTGAAAATGCTTTGAGACAACGTATCTAAAAAATTGAGAAGGACTTTATGTATTGAAAATCTTATTTCTTGAAACAATGCGGCTAAGTTGTGCAATTTAATGGAATAAAGAATACTAGAAGGTGCATCATGGTTATACCTTTGAAAATTACTTCCCGTTAAATCTATGTTTTTTCCGGAAATCTCTTTGGAGGTGTTTGTTCGGAATTAGAAGCTATATTGATTTTACTTGTCGAAAATCAGTCTTGTAAACACCCATTCAGTTCTAATTCTTTTTCAAAAAAAAAAGGTTGTTCGTTTATCAAATCTGTCCAAACTCTGAAAAAGCTTCATGAAAATAGTTAGTGATAGTTAAAACGGTGCCTCTTATTTGATATTAGTAAATAGTCAAAGATATCGAGATATTTCAGTGAATATACAAACTCAAATTCTTTTCCTTTATTTACCTATGGTGCTTGGTTTGCCTAGGTTCCTAAAATGATAAAAAAACATAACAAAAATATGCAATATTAATGTTAGCATTATATAGATATACACAGAAATGTGCAACTAATATTTGTTGTCTAAAGGAAAGGGGAAAGAAAAAATGGACTCTTCGGATTGGGCCAGTCGTCCAAGCCCAGCATGTTCACGAACTGCGGCAGACTCCACTCAGCAAAATGGACCCTAGACTAGAACTTGGGCCTTGAGTTCTGAAGAATCTCAGCAGGCCCAAATTCAAACAAGCATAAAAGAGACAGAGAATACGGTAGTGATGCCACATTAGGCCAAACAAAATAAAGTTGTATCACATAGGCCTTATTAAAGAGTATAGTGAAGCCAACATGAGATCCAGCAAGATAATGCTATATCAGATAGACATAATTAGAGTGAAGACCAACTTTTATTTGTATTAATCCTAAAGGGATTAGTGAGAGTCAATGACCAAGAGCATGGAGCAAAACCTTATTCGTGGACAGGGTACCCTTTGAATCTCTGGCACTTCAGAGTGCACAAGGGTGTCAAGAACCCCGAGCAGTACTTATGTCAGGAACGGGCACCTTTACCACAAACTAGGTCCCAACCTAAATGCCCTTAATCACTCAAACTCACTCTTTCCCAAAGGTTTAGATGTAAATGAGGTATTCACTTAACAGTCAACATGAGAACAATATGCAGGGACATGAACACTTTAAGGAATTACACCATTATCCTTAAAATCAGAGCTGATAAGGTAAAGGTCAAATACTGCAGCTACTAACAATGTTCAGGAACATTCCACATATATTAGAACAGTTACAAAGACTAATCACAAATTTAGAACAGGGTGAATTCATGGCGACCACCAATAAACTAATCCAAAATGCATAATTAAGTGATGCTCATTAACCTCATTAGTCCTACTGTGAGATTCAAACTCTTAGTAGTCTTTAACTAAGTTCACAATGCTTCAATCATTTCAATCTATCTTCAGAACAATTAGAGTTCCCACACACATGGTTGAATCCTCATTATATTGAATACGTATACTAACAGTCTTTCTTAAACAAGTAGAGACATCAAATTAGGTCGAGTAATCAGTTTAGATTTAGTCTAAATTTGGTAACATGTTGACTAATCTATCAGATCATCAATCAAACATCCAGGTTCACAATTAAGTCTTTTTTTAAGCCAAGATATCAACCAAGAATGGTGCAGTGTTCACCTGAACAAGAAAAACAAGTATCAATAGGTTTCCATAGGCCTATACGTGACAACAGTAGTTTTATGTTAGATTTTCACATAGCTCAGGCTGCTAAGTTATTAGGTCAAACAAGATTTAACTTATTCTTCTATAAAGCAGTTTTAAGTAAAAGTATAATAGTTTAAGCATGAATCCTTCTAAAAGGGGAAAACATGAAGTCCATGAGTGTAACTGGGTAAACACATAAGCATGTGCATTAACAGAAGACACTCAAACCTATACACAATGATGTTTCCAAAGAGTTACAAGATTACAAAATACATTAGATAGGCAGATAATGTAATAGCCAAGTTAGTGAGTTCAGGCTATGACAACAGACTTGCATTAGATCCTTAGGTGTGCACAACAAGCATAGTTCCAGCATTATCAAAGTAGACAGGGTAAGAGTATGGCATGGATCAACAAGTGGTATAACATTATTAACCCAAAATCAATGTAATGCATATGTAGTAGACATAAAATCTCAATAGGACATCAAATAAGTCAAAGATCACAACTTAATCAGGTTAGCTAAGCATGGTGGCATAGTTAGCAGAACAGCCATGAAAAACATCAGAAGTCTTTTAGCTAATAATGATAGTTCAACAGGAGTTATATCATCTAATATAGGAAATTTTATCTAGTTAAGCCATACATTTCATTAGCACATATTAACTAGTAACACTAAGGTAATCATAAGTTATTAGGAGAATAATCAGTCTTAGATCAATGAGAACAACAGAAGACATAGCAAGCAATCATAAGATTACTAAGATATCATGAGCGAAAGGAAATCAGCAAAGAAGACATTAGAATCACCAAATATACACAAATGATCGAAAGAAAAGGGAGTGTCATTGTACACTGACCTTCTGCTGGGCAGCAAACCAAACGAGAGTTTTGTCTAGCCATTTAGGAATCCAAACTCAAGCTCGAGCAATAGACGAACTCAGAACATAGTGAGGAAATCTAAAGCTTTTCTTTTTCTTTCTTTCTTTCTATCAGATTGTATTCAATTCTCTTAGGTGTTGTTGGTATTGTTAGGTGAGCAATTAAGGTGTAATGACCATGTAACGACCCGACCGGTCGTTTTGAGCTTTTGCATTCCTTTCAGCTATTTGAAGTCTTGAGTAACTTCATGTGATGCATTATTACTTGTGTGAATCGTCTGTTTTCGTTTTCAGGTGTTTTGGAATTTATTTGGAAGAATGATTCTCAAGTAGGAAGTTTTTAGTTAGAAGAGTTGATCAAGTATGACTTTTTATTATTTGACATTTGTTCGGAGTTTTTATGGTTCCGTTAGATCTGGATGGTAATTTTGGACTCGGGCGTATACCCGGATTTGCATTTGGATATCTCTAGAATGTTTCGGCACTAATTGGCGAAACTTAGAAATTTGAAGGTTTGGAATGTTCATAAGTTTGACCGAGAGTGTACTTTGATGATATCAAGTTCAGGTTGTTGTTTCAAGAATTTGAATAGCTTCGTTATATTATTTTGGATTTGTGTGCAAAATATGAGTTCATCCCAGGTGGATTTGATGTGGTTCCGCACGAGTTTTGGGAGTTGAAAGTTCAAAAGTTCATTAAGTTTGATTTGAGGTGTGATTCATGATATTGATGTCGTTGTGCATGATTTGAGGCCTCGATTAGATATATGTTATGTTATGGGACTTGTTGGCATGTTCGGACGGGGTTCTGAAGGGCTCGAACGTGTTTCAGATTGATTTCGGACCATATTTCTTCATGTTTTCATTGCTGATTTCTGATGCCTCGACTGTCCTTCGAGATCGTGAAGATTGGGATGCGATCGCGTAGAGGAAATTTGGAGCTGGGCACTTTCTTCATCGTGGTCACGACTTAAAGAACATGTTCGCATAGTTAGGAGCATTGTAGAACCGCATTCGCGGATGAGGAATTGCGGCCGCGTAGTGTTGAGAGTGGGCAGCTAAGAGCTAGAGAATTTTTCAATGCGATCGTGTTATATGGTTATCATTCATGGAGCTTTGACGGCTGTGGTCATCGTGTTCACGTGGTTAGTATCGCAACCACGTATTGCATTTTTGTGGCAGTGCCTTTTGTTCTTCGCGATCACAAGGTTGTTCTACGATCGCATAGAGTATTTCTGGGGCAATGCATTTTTCTTCTTCGCGATCACGATGGTATTTCTGTTATCACGATTCGTTAATCCGTCCAGTGATTTTAAGTACTCTATTTTTGGGGGGTTTTAGCCATTTTTTGCATTTTGGAGCTATGGAGCTCGGATAGTGATGATTTTTGAAGTGATTTTCTCCATACGGATCGGGATGAGTGTTCTCTACTCGGTATTGATTATATTTCATGAATATATCCTCGTTTTTGGTTATTGGTTGATGATTTCAAAAGAGAGATTGGGGGTTTTGTGTAAAATCTCACCTATCAACCGGAAAATGCCAAAATTCCAATTTCGCCAATTCAAGCCTAAATCTACTCTGGACCTCCAAAACATGTTCTGATCACACTCCTAAGTCCTAAATCATCTCCCGAAGCTATTCGAACTATCGGAATTCACATTCGACCCCTTTTCACATAAGTCAACATCCGGTTAACTTTTCTAATTTAAGCTTACTCAAAAGAGACTAAGTATCTCAAACCTTACCAAAACCTTTCGGAACCCGAGCCAACCAACCCGATAACACATAATACAGTTGAACAAGACAACAAGAAGTAGAAATGGGAGAAAAGGAGCGGTAACTCATGAAACAATTGGCTGGGTCGTTACAGGTCATTATGTGCCTTAGATTCTAAATTGTGCACATGTGTAAACAAAGGCTTGAATGAAAAGCCTTGTTGTTGTTGTTAATGATGATAATGTTGGGATGTGAAAAATAACTTGAATTATGAAATGTGACCAAGAGCCAAGTATGAAATAAGATGATTGATAGAAAATTGTAATGTCTTGGGCAAGACGGCCTAGCCTATCGGGCCATGATCAAACGCCATACCGCACACATGATGGTGAGTGTGCTAGAAATTAAAACTGGAAATTAAAATTTAAACTGTGATTGTGGTGGATGTCTCAAAGGAGACGACCTAGCCGATCGGGCTGTGATCGAATTTTGTATAAAGGTACAGTGGTATTGTGAGTGATGATATATTGGTGCTAAAGACCTCCCAACCTAAAATCATGGAAATTACTTGAATGCTTATGTGAGATGTTATGGTATTATTTAAGGCTTCTATTGATTTCATGATTATTCCTTTTTGTATTATTGTTCATCCTAATGAGATGGTGTTTAGTTATACATACTAGTACTATTCGATGGTACTAACATCCCTTTTGCCAGGGGTGCTGCATCTTTAAATGGATGCGGGTGGTCCACAACATACAATGTTGATCGGCGATAGTGGTACATCCTTTTCCCAGCAGACTTGGTGAGCCCCACTTCTTCCCGGGGTCACGTATTGTATCTTTTGTTCATATTACTATTACGTTTTGAGGTATAGCCGGAGCATTGTTGCCAATACTAACTTAACACTCTTTCGTATCTTTTAGAGGCTCTGTAGAGATAGAGTGGGTTATATGTATATGGGTGCCGGGGAACTCAAACAAATCATGTTGTGTTGGATTATTTAATCCACTTCATGTAATGAAAGGATGTATATTTTGGAGACACAAACTAATGAAGTAACTAATGAAATGTCGTAGTATTTTATGCATGATCTCCCTATTATCTAATTAATTGAAATATGTCCTCTCTTTGTTTATGAGCGAGCTTGGGTAGAAGGAATCTAATAGGCTTGCTCAGTCGGGTTCACTCAGTTGAGCGCTGGTCGCGCTCCCTAAGTTTGGATCATGACAGGGTGGTCTTAGGACAATTATAAGAGATTTGGGTGAGGAGTTGCAACTCGTTTAATCTGGGGGATCAACAACTAAGATTGAATAGCAAAAAGGGAAAACGGGGTCGTTTTGATTAAAAAGGGAGCTGTACCATATTGGACTTATGGGGATTGGGCTCGGCAGATTTTGGTCAATTGGCCAACTGAAGCTGCTATGGCCGAATTCGAAATAACACTTAAACAAAACCTTCCTTTCTTTCATTTTTTTTTTAAATTCTAAACAAATTAATTAAAGTCCTTAATCAAATCTTAACTTAAATCTAATTTGTAAAACTAACCTTATTTATTTTCTAACACTTAACCAATTTAAACAACTAATAATGCATGTAACATTACTAATGTATTTTGTTTGATTTTAATGTATTAGTTCTAACAATTAATGAGTAATCAATTTCTAAAATGCAACTAAACCTAAGATGTCATGAAATGAAGATTTAAATTTTTTTATGGTGTTTTCTATGATTTTAAGATATTAAATATGCACAAAAAATACAATTAAATGCAAACAAACAATTAAGAAGAAATTCCTAGAAATTCTATAAAATGAAAAACAATTAGAAAAAATTTATTTTTTTTGTGGATTTTGTAGGAGTTATTTTCGCAGGGCAAATATTACGTGCTCACAACATGACGCAGGAAGTTAGACTCAGATGGTTCGGGAATGTACAAAGGACAGATGCCCCGATAAAGAGGTGTGAGCGGTTGGCGTTGGTGGGTACAAGGAGAGGTAGAGGGCAGCCTAAGAAGTAGTGGGGAGAGATGATCAGGCCGGATATGACGAGGCTTCAAATCTCCGAGGACATGACCCTCGATAGGAAGTTCTGGTGGCTGAGCATTAAGGCTATATGTTAGGAGGTAGTTGAGCATATTTCTAACTCATACTAGTGAGGCTACTCTTCCGTTTTCATAGTGTCAGACCTTATTTACTGGTTATCATTCGCTTTCCATCTATTTACTGGTTCTTGTGATGTTGTTATTATTTCTATGTTTTTTGTTGATGGTACTGATATATAATCTTTTTGCATCTTGTTGAGCCGAGGGTCTATCGGAAACAGACCCTCCATCCCGATGGGGTAGAGGTAAGATCTGCGTACATACTACCCTCCCCAAATCCTACTTGTAGGATTCTACTAGGTCATTGTTGTTGTTGTTGATAACTTTGCATTCATTATATTTGCCATTCACGTAGGCTTAGGTCTTTGATTCGGACTTTATTGGAGCATCCTGTGAGCCAATGTGTATAAGCTTGAGCTTTCTTAACGTGACTCATTTAACCACTCAATTTGACTCATCTTAAAAACTAATTCCAAGGGGGGAACAGGAAAAGATTTAATTTTGCGAGAGAACTAATTATTCAACAACTAAACCACAAAAACGAAGGTTATATAACATTACTTTAAAAGAGTACGTAAAACTTTACAAGCACCAAAAGATACCAGAGGAAATTAAAAAGAGTTCGTAGTAGAAAAGATCATTCGACACCTCAAATAATAACAGTTACATATAAGAATAAGATTAGTATACTGCTAATGAACCCTCTAAGGATTTAGGAAGAATCACGTTAAATAAAATTCGATCATTGTTGTCTTTGGTTTAATTATTTGGAGTACTAATAGTCTCTTGTGGTCCCAAATAGCGATTATTAAGAGCGTGAAAATTGCAGCCACAGCTTTAATTTCACAAACTTCTAAGTACTATGAGATCTAAGCCTTCTTGGCTTCTCCGTACCACGAAACCAATACTATCATCCATTTACCAATGCCATTAAATTCTTCGTAGTATTCACTCTTTATTTTGGTGTATTTAAGGCAATTGATTGAGATTACCGAGGAATTAACATTTCTTTTGGTGCTGCATCGTTGAGATGTTTTAAACAACTCTTCGTGATCATGAAGAGAAAATGCATGTGGTTCAATAATTAATACTGCTTGCTCTTGTCAAAAATATTGGCAGACTGAATTTATTTCAGAATATTGTTGTTTTACCGAAACTGGAAGTATTTTTCGTCAAATTTGTTGCTTATGCTCCAATTAATGGCCGCTAACTAAGTGAGACGTTTAAAATATATTTTTTAAGAG